GGCCATGCTCTTCAAAAATAAATGATAATTATTTCGGCGGAAGCCAGTATAAGTACCAAAATATGTAAGCACTAGAAAATTTTCATTGCGCCCCCTTGAATAGCGAGGAAGCATCTTTAAAGGCATTAAGAACGTACGTATGTTGACCGAAACGAACCACTGGTGTGATCAGTTTTCGTTTGGTCGCCGTTACAAGTGCTTTTCGCTAGACATTGTATACGGTAGAAAATTAGTCTGTTTGGCCGCACGTAGCCTACCACTCTCGAGTGTGTGTAATCTATCAGATAACTAATAAAAAGGGGCAAATTGCTGAGTACAGGGCGACGGTTGAAGAGGCCATCATGACATTTGGGGGCTAGCAATCAAACATTCCCTCGCGCCCTCAATTTCGCGGTCCTGACTGATTATATTCAATCATAATGCGGAGGGAAACTCTGGTAAATGCATTTGGACCGAAGAAACGGGCACAGATCTATCGATTACAATACTTGTTGCTGATACGACCACGCATACACACGTGATAGAAGGCAATTGTAGGAAAGAGGTCGATGTCCCAAAATAGTTCTCTCGACTGACAATATGGCGCATGTGATATGTGGCAGATGAGATTGTCTGACATTTTCATCGTGTCAACTCTCGCAGTATGAAAAGGAGTGGGTGGTTAACTGGAACGGAATAGGTTTGGATAAGCGTATTTAGAACAAATCGTAAAGTACTGGCGTTAACCACGGGTGCCATCGGTCCATAAGAAATTAGCCTACTTTTAGTGAAACAAGGAGCGGTCTGCAAGTTGAGAGAAAGAGGGAAAGCAGCTCCACACAATCCTACAAACAACCCAGCCAGAATATCCGTCAGAAAGGGATCGGTGACAGTGGCAACCACTGGATACCGGAAAGACAGTGCACGAATATCATAGTCATCAAAAACTGCAGACAGAACGATTTTGTGTGCATGTGTGTGTGTATAGAGGTCGTCAGGATGCAGAAACACGCCTGGAACGTCGGGGTGAAATCGTCCAGAAGCTCAGGCGATACAGGCCTATGGAGCGGCTGTTTGTGATCCAGCTGACAGACAACACATAAGATGTGAAACCAGAGTGGCATAATTTATAACGTTCGTCACATTCGTCAAAACAGACAAATCGACAGTTTCCGTTGGGTAGCTAGGTCGAAAAAATCAAAGACTATCATCAGTAAACTGGAACAGATAGCAAGGACAAGAGAGAAAGGTTGTGCCAGGGTTGGGGGAAGTCATACTATCACCGAGAATGTGTATCGTTGGGATAATTGGGGGCAGTAGCGCGTCCCTGTTGGTATAGAAGGAACGACAATGGACAAAGATGTTTCTGTTCGCTGCATGGTAGGTTCATGGATGTTAATTCACAACACTCTTCAAACAGGCCAGCCCAGTTTGCAACTCGTGTCCGGGTAGAAAACTGGCTGCTGGATAGGCATCATGTGGAAACTGCCTGACGCGGATCGGTTGTGATGAGGTGTGAAGTAATTACCGCATATACACAGAATCGGCTGCCCGCGGAAAGCCGCTTCAAAACACAACNGATCGGTTGTGATGAGGTGTGAAGTAATTACCGCATATACACAGAATCGGCTGCCAGCGACACGACGCTTTAAAACACAACACAATCGTTTTTTGAGAGTTAATCGTACATTTGTGTTGAGGAAAACGAAGGGAAGATGAAATTCAGTGATAGTCTGTTAGGCGTGTTCATCATCCCCATGAGCAACACAACTGCAGTACTTAACATGGAATTCAGGAACAGCGACGTGACCAACAGAATCTGTCAAGTTTAAAACAAAATACAGAATGTTAGGCACCATTTTCATCACCGACGTCATAAAAATGTGGGCGAGTCTAGATTAGATCAGTTTGTATTATTAAACTATAACGCACGATGACTACAGTAAACGGTTTCTCGTGGTCACAGAATGCAACTTTGGTGATCACATTGCGTGCTAGACAAGCGAATTCGTGCGTACTGTCAGACAGACTAGAAATTAGATTCTCCGGCAAAATTATCGACGCTCCTCAAAAGCGATCAATCCAATCACATCCATCCAGTGTCTAGATGATCGAAATGAGAATCTTAGAGGAATCCGTTGCTGTAGTAGTTTAGACAATAGCGCGAATTGAGTTACAGAAAAGCAAAAAACTGCTTCTCCTCAAAATGCCTTATTGAAGAAACAATTGCTGCCGTAGGGATTTTTCTGCTGCAAGCCTCCCCAAAGGGAATAAACCCGCCTGATCGAAGGAGACACGTCCTGGTTCACGAAATTCATATTTTACTTCTAATGGGAAACATCGCTATTACAACGCCCAACTGGGTAACATATGCAGAGCTGTTGCGTCCCATGAGTACAGCTCACCACTGTAGTCGTGTACTTAATCTCAGAAGACCAGTGCGTTATTCTTGGTCGTAGCTGGATCAATGGTTTGCCCAAGGATAAGTTTACGTTGAAATAGGTCATTGCTGTACTACCATCGAGTAAATGTTACGAAGTTGGACTCAAAGAAGACTTATCAGCAACACTCGGTATTTATCGTGTTCTCAATAAAGAAAATCGATTTTTGGGGTATTCGATGGAACAGTATCTCAGTTCCATAAGGCTAGCTGGCTTACTAGGAGATATTTGACCGCAACTCCACTATCCAGCGTTTTCCTCGCTATTTGACATCCTTACTAGACCGAAGGTCAGAATAAATTGCTTTTGTTGAAGGAGTTGTAACACCTGATAACATCCGTCTCAGTGACCGAAAATGCAGTGCAGTACGGACGGAGAGTAGATTGACTTCGGCTTTCACAGTTATTTAATCCCTGAGAGCAAAAATGAACAATCAAATCAGTGCAGTGCACAAAACGTCGACAACGTTTTCTGTGTGAGTGCGGTGGGTAACTACGGAGTGAGGACCATAGATTGGATGTAGAAGCCTCAGTAATTGAATGACCGTGTTTATGATCACATGAACGTCTCCTCCCGTATGGGAGACGGTCACAAAGTAGATCAGAATGAGAGGTAATTTGGCAATGTGTGGTCTGTACTGAGGCGCGTCAACTACTCGGTTGAAGTACTCGTAGCTCAGTTTATTCTACCCTGATGCACGAAGCACAAATGTAGTTAGGATCATCAATCATGCTGAAAGATCCAACTATGACCACTCCATAAGTCATCATCTTCGGACGAAATTAACAGGAGTGTGCAGGCTCTAGCATTACGAACCTAGATAGATTGATAGCTGACGTTAGAAGCTGAGAGGCAGGTACTGAACAGTCGTGTGAGGCCAGAGACAATGCAGATGAATTCAGCGAAAAAAAGCTTCAGCTGTTCAGCAAACCATCAGTATCAACCATACACATGTGACCAAACAGACAGAATACACCAGTAAAAAAGACAACTTCCGAATAATTCAAAAGGACGGCAAAAAAAGAATACGAAGTGCCAGTGAACAATAAAACTAGTGGAAAAAACGCAAGCTTCAAATGGGCCCCAAGAGCACACTTCACTTGCGTCTCGTGATGCATGAATTCCTGTAAGATATGAGCGAGTCGATTCTCGGTGCCACTGAACCCTGCTAACGAAGTTCTACCATGGGTTGAAACCATTGTCATTCAGTTACCTCCACCGAATAACCGAACCCGTAGAATTACGGGTTCTTGACCCTTGAGAGAAAGTGATATAGTAGGGGTGGACTAATTCGTTGACCTACTCGTACGGCAGCCTGCTACTGCCTTATGATACTCAAGGGTGATGGTACGATCATCTGCGTTTTTTGTCACAAAACCCACTAAGGCAGACAATGCAGTGGAGAGTAGTTTCCGCACTGCGAACAGTGCACCTCCCTACAATAGGTCAGGAATGTACGCAACAATTTTTCAAAGCGTGATCTGACCCAACACACTTAGGGCACCTGACCAGGAAACAAAGACTTAGTGTGATAAAGCCAGGTTTTGAGTAGTTGTTGGGGTTTGACTACATGTTGTGACTGTTCAACAAGTAGCATACTGTTTAGGTTATGTTTATGTTGGGGCATGCTCTGTCTTTCATCACTTGACAGCTACAAATACTGTACGACAAAGACGCGGTTCTTACAGCTGACAATGATGATGAGGTCGATCGAGCTAAACGCTATGATTAAATTAGCTATGCAGGCATCTTCGTGCTTGGAAAAGAAATTCGTGCATGCGTGTCGGGTTCACATCAGGTCAGCATGATGCGGAGCAACAAGCACTAGCTCAGTGGGTGTGACAGGGGTTGTGTTCTGGAGTATCCAGGTGTGCACACAACCAAGTCAAACGACAAACGGCACGCATTTAATACTACGTGTGTAGTACTCTGAGGTTTCACGTTTAGACTATGTTGTTCGCATGTCAGAGGATCATCTACCTGACAGTTCTCTGGATGGGAAATGACTGAAGGGTGGGCAGTCTATAACCTGGCATCCAGGATATGGAAATCTTAACCAAGAAGTGCATTCGCATTGACAACTGTTACCTCTCCGGACGGGAAGACCGGGACGCCATGCATTGACTTTCAATGACATTGACAAACATTGCTTGGTCACGTGGTCAGTGGCGTTCGTGCATGAAAGCTATCACCAGCGCATAACTGTCCAAATCTCCACTTCATCTGTCAACCGGAACCTATAATAAACAGCAATTCATTGCTCAGGCCATTGCCTCTCACTGATGGTTATCCCTCTCTATTGTCTCGTTTTTCATTGAACAAAACCATATCAGCTAGAACTAACGAACCTTACGTACACGGCTTGTAAATGAATAACTGAACCGAATGGAACTCATGTGGACCTAAACAATGTTATCCGGCTGTTGTCGCATTAGACGCCAATTCCCCCATACTTAAGCGTTCTGAGATGTATTGATGACATCATCCCGATTAGTGGTAAGACGTTTAAATCAACTTGCTCCGCTCGGCAAACGAACCAACGAACCAACTTGAGCTACCAGCGTTCAGCGGAACAGCGATTCACGGTAATGAATGAAACTCTTAACTGAGGACAGTAGACAAGTAGTCAACCATGCACCGGTTTTGTTACCATACCATGCGAGAAATACAGGAGTTCGTATTTTGAAAGGTCGTCTTTCGTTTTTCATTTCATGAAGCTGATGTGAAGTGGTGGAGAGGTTCAACCAATAAGTTACAACTGTGAACCGGTAAAAAAAATTCTGGCTCTGGAATTGTACCTTAGCAGGTAGACACGATACAAACAAGACTAGGATTCCTAATAGCTTCAAACGAAATGAATGACACTCAACATCGTGATAGAACGGAAAATAAAAAGTCACCTGCACTTTTTCTTGTGTAGCTTTACTGAGAAGTGGTTTGACGAAGCTGTACAGCCTGCTGAAAAGGGGTGGGGCATTGATGACGAAACAGGCTCCCAAGACTTCCGGGTAATTTGATTCAATGACAGTCACTGCTTCGCCGACAAGAGAGAGCCATGATGGCGATAGGTGTTTTAATCCAAGGCCTTGCATATCCATTATGACGGTCAGCTGATCAATCTCCTTTCCAGCACGTGCAGTTGCTTCTGGGAGTGTGACATGCAGTATGTGTTCCATTTGAAATATGCGACTTTGCAGGAATTCTAACCGGTTGGTTGCTTTGAGAAAGCTCTTCGGATCAACACGACCTATAGGTGCGATGAAAAGAGGCCTCCCTTCCTTGTCCTCACCGCATATCCCTCCTGGAAAATACTTGTCAATCACTTCCGGCATCCGATACCAAGAAAGGATAGTGTCTACCTGAGATGAGAAATATCAGTTGGTAAATGTGCATCGAGAATGTACAAACTGATTTATAAGGCTAAGGAGAGTACTGGAAAACATATATATTATAAGGTGGTCTCTATTTTCTGAGGGAAAACCTGCAATTATTGTGAGGACACTGTCAGGAATTACTGTGGCGCATCAGTGATGTAGTCGTGTTGAGTCCAATAAGGTTTCGCGCATGTTCGTACAGAAAGGATTTGTGGTGCTGGAACAGTACTATTAGACCGCACTGTACTGGCCTATGGCGAAGTCATCTATGGTGGGCCTTTTGCATCGAAGGTCCTGCGTGGGAGAGACTACATCCTAGAAGAGAACACCCCTCCTATAGCTACGAGCGACGACCAGTATGGTGTAGTAGAGACATATGGTTGTCGACAGATATGAGAATAATGGTGATCTGTGTGATAAACAAGTCAATTCAGTTATTCAGCTGCGAAACTCATAATGAAAATAAAGTGACCCCAAATACTATGTAGAAAACGGAGAAAACGAGGAAGCGGTCGGGAACTGAACGCCATTGCTTAGCCAATTCAATGACATGCACAACTGACTATTAGAGTTATGTTTTGAACATGGTTTGGTGTCTTCATTGGACGAGACAATTCAGTAGGAGGGATTAAACAAGCGAACTTCGGCTGCAAAAGGGCTGGTGGTGATGCCTCAGCGAGTGGAGACTATGCGATCTGAAGGCATTGGATCGGTTTTGTGGTTTCATGCTTAGTCGGGTCGACCACTAACTTTCGGACTTAGTCGCTTCGAGCAGTATTCTCCATCCCACTTTGACGAACACAGGCCACATGATCTACCGCATACGTACTTGGGCGGGTATGCAACTACGCAAACCATCACTGCCAATGTGTTTGTAGCCTGCGAACGTATGAGCGATAAAGTTAAAAAGAGGCAGGGAAGTTTGACGTCAAATTCCATAGCCCATCATCGTCGTTAGCAGAGGTGCATCAGCAATGGATACTGGAGTTTAACAGGCATAATCGTGAACAACAAAAATGGTTCTACAACCATGTTAGAGCTTTTGGTGGACATGCCATTTATACAGCTATTTTTTGTAAGGGAGCACCAAGAAGAGCTACTGGAGTTTGGCCATCCACGTAGCCAGTTTCGGTTCCGATATACAGATTCACACCGATCAAGGTAAGACGTATCTTTCTGTTACGTGTAGGCGGACTTTCCACCTCAAAAACTACCAAATTTCCCTCTAGTATCTAATTACTTACCAGACGCTTTCGCTTCCGGCGTTTTTATGCTACTCAAGTTCGCATTTCGCAGCATATTTAGAACATATTTTCCGAGCTCTTGAAGTCAAGCAACAAGGTTACGCTGCTGTTGTAATGGAATAGGGCTACGAAAATTCATATTCAAAACATCTCGGAAATTACAGCGTGCAACACGAAGGTTCATTAGTTATAATCCAATTCCGGAGTATCGAATGTACCTGTCTAGGTCCCAGTAATCTGCCAATACTTGAGCGCTTTTGCGCCCCTCGATTGGCACGGCGACTACGCGCGGAAAGGGGGCCATGGATGAGCACTTACGTTTTTTTTAAAGTTATAATAAGAACTAACCGTTTCTTGAGGTTAATTCTTCTTTTACTGGAACCATCGGCTCACATGGTGAATAATACGTTCAGAAGGGAATCTGATCCATTACTGTTTTCAGTGGTAAAATTTGTGGCTGGACTAGAAATAGTAAATCACCTTGGGACGTATCTACTTTGTAGTCTGATCCGAACGAATATGGTCAGACTCTTAAAACCCATTAGTGTATGATTATCGTGGCCACAAACCAATGCGCGTTACTGTTTTGATCGTTGCTGTTTTCTGTCTGTGTCGTGCGCGCACGTCTCAAGTTATGTGTTCTACCAACCGTATAAAAATGAAAAAACAACTTGTGCTGCGGAAGTTCGGAAAGTTTCACTAATGAACCAAAACTGCATGAGCAAAATACGGTCACATGTTGGATTTGGAAAGGATCGTTTAGCATAGGTCGCTTAGGCGATGAAGCACAGGAAAACAAGTTTGGGACAAAATCTTGATCAATCTGAATCATAACCATTAGCGACAGTAATACTGGTAAACACTGGTGTTCAGTCGTCATATAACCACGGAAAGAAAAGGGGAAGATAGGGACTTATTGCATACAGTCCTAAGTCCCTAGGTCAAATGGCCAAGAACGAGGCGCCTGAACCTTTGAACAATAACGAGATAAACTCAGTTGAACATCATGTAAAAACAGAACTTTACGGGTGGAATCGACTGGGAGTCATCCGCGAAACTTATTCAATGCGTTCAGCAGATGACGGTAGATGAACTTGAGCTAGGCAATCCGACTAAGAGTGAGAACACACTGGTTACTGTGACCGTCTCCTGTAGGGTTTCTAACTCAAACCAGACAGGGACCCAAAACGCTCGATTCGGCAGTGGTCACCTTCATTTCGCCTTATTAAATCCAGCCTCCCCCCCCCCCCCCCCAAAAACCTTTTACCGGGGCACCCCGGGAGGAAAAACAGTGCTTNCCCCCCCCGAAAACCTTTTACCGGTGACACTCGGAGTAGAAAACAGTGCTTTCTTTAGCAGACAAAGGCTGGACAAAGTTAAGCTACGTCCAGTTGATGGGTTTTGTTTGCAGCTTTGGGGAATCCTATTTACCGCCAAATATTAACTAATGCACCATCTCATTGCACCAAACGTCTGCTACGCTGCGTAAGTGCCGGTGGTCGTACGTTTGAGGTGTTCAACCCTCTTCGGCAGGATAAGCACTTGAAGTTTCCCTGCACATATGGTCCTTTAAATTCACTGACCCAAAGCTGTAACGCGGTAAGGGTGGACGGGCTGCAAAAAGACCGGACCCTATTGTCTGGCGATACTGGTGGGTTTCACCGTGACACCTGAAGATTTTCTCATAAGAGGTTGGTCAGTGAACAGAGTCTTGACGGACACAATCTCCTGGTCCTCCGGGTTGGGGGTTGGGATAGCCACAGCAGCATTTTACTCGAAATAGATTGCATTACTGTGGTAGTAGGACGGCGACCACTTACTGTCTCGCCGTCAGCGTTGAGTCAAATGTTTTCGTTGAGGACCCTAATCGTCTTTATACCTAGGTGTGGGCAACCAGACAGTATCTCAGCCCGCGTATATCCATGAAACTCACGATTAGAAATTCTCATAACAAATCGGTCACCAGCCGTCGCTTAACTTGCTGCATACAGCAGGATGGGTAAGCAAAAACATGCTACTTCTGGTCTCTGCCTTTTTACGTTTTCACGTATTCCTTTTTCTCCCCTATCCCACTCCAATGTGAGTCCCATCATTGGGGTCGACCGCTTTGTTTGCTTTGCATCACGTTCAGCTGCAGCCTCTGTGCGTCCATCTTCAATAATAACCATCAACACCTCGAAATCAGTTTCAACCCCAAAAGCCGGTCAACTTAGCTACCTCTGATTTCAGTACACTCAAGCAAGCAGGAAAACAAGCGGCACTTACTAGAACGCTGGATTCCCTCTACATCGATGTACGCTGTCTATCAGAAACAAGAATCCGGGATGCAAGTATTCCAATTGAATTGATTACACCCACGTTATTTTCCTGCATCCAGATGCATACCTCTGGCGACGCAGAGGTCGCTGCGGCTGAACAAGCCTGGGTGGGTATTGTGCTGAAGGATCCGTCGGAGGTCCCTCTACTGGATAGGATACCCGTAACCAGTCACCTCCGTCATTCGTTTGGCAATGTTCATGAAAGAGTCTAGAGAAACAGAGGTTCATCGCTCTCAGTTTACTGTGCCTGCTTACGCTCCAAACCCTAGGTTTGAACCCACCAACGACGGGTTCCACGACGCTTTAGGTGCACTTTTACAACGATCTGAGAGCATAGAAATCATTGGTGACACGAACACTCATGTGGGTAAGCTTAGCGCTTCAGAGGTTCACTTGGGTGGTCGCCTTAGGCTGGACACAGGACGCATGGACAATGGAGGGCACCTGCCGCATAGTTCTTTGCAGTGATAATCTCCGGAACTGTGAGGTTCGTGTGCCCACCAATGAAACAACTCCGAAACCAAGTAGATCATACTGTCATCAGTTGCCGGTGGTGACGGTCGATCACTGTTTGCAGGTTCCTTCAAGGATACCTGCGTGGAATCCGATCATGCGCTTGTCTATCACTGCGTTTTTCAGGTCACACAAAACACGTGTATGTTGTATGGCCAATGGGAAGCTCACACACCGCAAAACCAAACAAATATATCAAATTATACTTTCCCAACCTCTGCCTGCTGATCCGATATAAGAAATCAGCTATCACTGGAGCGATATATCCAAAGTTGGAAGTGATGCCGAGACTACTACTTGCGGTATAACCCAGCCGGCCTCTTCTAAGCACTGCACCTCTGACGTGAACACCACTTTGTCACAGGCGATGTGACAGACTCCATCTTGTAGCAACGGCGATCCAACGCAAACCACCATCTGGTGTCAGGTAGGATTGAGTGTACGCACAGCTACGGAAGGATGATGGATCTAAAAGGCTGGAGAAATGAAGGAGCGAAAAGTGTCGGCAGACTGTTATACTTGATTCGTTGGACAGACTCCCTTGATAGTGAAGCCATCAAAGATCGAAATGGCTTTCTGGTATCCAACAAACGTTTGGATAATTAAGCAGAATATTTAAAAAAATTCATCTGGCCACTCGCTACTTCTAAACCGGTCTGTCAGTCCTTGAAAGAAGCGTGGACTGTGAATAAGAAGCCTCCTCCAATACTGGGTATCCGAATGTGTGCCGGTCCGATGACCTGTTCTGGTCAAGGATGGCGGTGAATTCCTCAGCTGGTGACTGTCTAGCCTATTTATATTTATCTGGGAGAAAAAGACCGCCCCAAACGACTGTGGTCAGTGAATAACAGCTCCTGTCTTAAAAAGGGATACTTGCATGGGCGTCAGTTTGTCTTCTATGACAAAACTT